CCTGGGGGGAGGGGAGGTGGAACCGGTTGGAACAGGTGGAAAAGACCCCTGCCCCCCCACGCCCATAAATGGCTAAACCCAAGGGTAAGACGAGGGTCCTCCAAGCAAATCTTCACCATGCAGCATCTGCTTCTGCCGTGATGGAGGTTTGCTTTGCTGAGGACAACATTGACCTCGCCCTTTTACAAGAGCCTTGGGTGGCCAACGGTCAAGTTCTGGCGTTGGTGGCTGCCGGTAAGATTCTTGTCAATACCAAAGGCAGTAGACCCAGAGCTTGTATAATTTATAATAAAAATATTGAACTTTTAGCTGTTCCAGATTACTACAATGATGATCTGGTTACAGCCTTCATAAATCTCAAGGGCATCCCTTGGGGCCGATCCACAGGGGCCAGAGTAATCATTTGCTCAGCCTATCTTCCCGACGAGAACGCAGATCCTACCATCGAGTTAGAGCGAGTGACGGAGTTCGCCCGAAAACACAACGCCGAACTTGTGGTGGGTTGAGATGCTAATGCTCACTACACAGCCTGGGGAAGCACCAACATCAACGAAAGAGGTGAGTTAATTTATGATTTTCTCATCTCCAACCGCCTGGTGAGCCTAAACTTAGGTTGTACACCAATTTTTGTAACGCGTGCTAGGCAAGAAGTGTTAGACATAACCTTTACTACCAATAACATGTCCAGGCGGATAAATGACTGGCATGTTAGTAGCGAAAACTCGATGTCTGATCACAAGCACATTAAGTTTGTGATAGGAAAAGCATCACCAACCTATGAAACCGTTACTTTTAGGGATCCAAAAGCGACCTCCTGGGATATCTACAGAGATAGCCTAAGGAGGAATTTGGAAACGTTTCCTAAAAGCACCAAAACAATTGAAGGTCTGGAATTAGCAACGGAGACAGTAACCGTAGGTATCCGTGAAGCCTTCGAGGACAGTTGTCCCGTCAAAACCAAGACCTCAACATGAAAAGTTTCTTGGTGGAATTTAACCTGAAAGAACTCAGGGAAAAGACCAGGAAACTATTTAATAGGGCTAAGAAAACCAAAGAGTGGTATATTTGTAGTGCAGCCCTATCTGAATATAATAAATCAGGAAAGCCAAGAGAGCATCGTGAAGAAAGCTATGCGAGGAAGTTGAGTCTTTGCCTCGCATTGCAAGACTACACAAAATGCTATCGAAAGCTAAACCTAATCAGATCGGGCTTCTTAAAAATCCGGATGGTAACTTCACTAATAGTGAAACAGAAACATTGGAGTTACTAGCGTCAACCCATTTCCCAGGATCACACAAGACTTCAGCCTTGAATTCTTTCAGAGCCCTACGAAAGCCTTGCAATGAGGACTGGTGTAGGGCTGCAAAAATAACATCATTGCGAGGGGCTTTTGCCAAAGTACTTTATCGTCAATAATACAAAGAGCCCTAAACACCATAAATAACTGGTGTAGGGACAACAGTTTATCAGTTAATGCTGATAAAACTGTTATAATTAATTAATTAAACCCTTTACCAAAAAGAGACGTTTGGATAAATTAGTTCAACCAAAACTTAATGGCTAAGAAGTACCATTTTCCACGGAAGTTAAGTGGGCGTAACAATCGACCAAAAACTAACGTGGAACTCTCATCTTAGCAACGTATGCCATAAGGCAAAAATTGCTTTAGGTACGTGCAGTCGTTTGGTCATGAACAGCTGGGGCTTTCGTCCCAGTATGGTCCTATGGCTGTACAGCAGCATAGTGAGGCCGATTCTCACCTACACCTCTATTGTCTGGTGTAACAAGGCCAAACAAAAGACGACTGCGGACAGACTAAATAGTCTACAAAAGACTGCCTGCTTAATGGCAACTGGAGCTATGCGATCATCGCATGGAGCGGCTCTTAATGCACTTCTATGCCTAACGACCCTTGATCTCTATCTAGACAAGGAGGGCTAGTTTTTATAGAATTAACGCCCAGGGTGGTCTGAGTTTGCTCTCCTACAGATTGAGATCCATGCTCGACTCAATTATGGAATCACCGGTCTTATGCATGATCTCAGATATCATGCGTCCACTACACACTTTTGATAAAAATTATATAGTGGAATTACCCTCCAGAGAAGACTGGCTGAATGGCCAGGTTATCTGTGAGGTCGATAGCCTCATATGGTATACCGATGGGTCTAAAATGGGTCTCGACGTAGGCTTTGGAATTTACGGGGAACGCCCCAAATTCAAACTTAGTATGAATTTGGGTAGATACACCTCTATCTTCCAGGCAGAAATTTTCGCCATACTTCGGTGTGCGGAAATAAATCTGCAAAAACACTACGTCAACCATAAAATTTACATAAACTCTGATAGTCAAGCAGTACTGCTAGCGCTGAGGTCAAACTTAGTGAACTCGAAGCTAGTTGGAGACTGCGTAAAACGTTTAAACGCCCCGGGATGTAACAACAGGGTAGTTTTGAGATGGGTTCCGGGTCACGAGGGTATTGTAGGCAACGAATTTGCCGACAAACTTGCACGGGAGGGCTCAAAGTGCACACAATTTGGACCTGAGCCATTTTGTGGAATCCCAAGAAGCCTAGCCCGATTGACCCTTGAAACTCTTTATCACAATAAATCATTTAAGATCTGGTCTGACATACCAGGCTTAAAACATTCTAAAACCTTAATCCGGGCTTTTAATCGTAAATTCGCTTCAGAAGCCCAGGAATTGAGTAAAAATAAATTGCGCATTCTGCCAAGAGCCCTAACTGGATACTGTTGTCTTAAAAAGCACATGTCCATCCTGGGACTAAGCAACTCAAGGATGTATTGGTTCTGTTCCATAACGGAAGAAACGCCTAACTAATAGTGCGCAAACGTTACACTCATCTGGGAAACTATGTACTCCGCTCAGAAGAAGTGAAATTGCTCACGGCTAAGCAACTCCTTCTATTCATTGAAGACATAGGACTTGGACAGTGAACTATAGCCATAGCAGCGATCACAATAGATCTTTTAGGTCACAGTGATACTGGTCTCTTTCCCTAGACCTGCATAGCTGCTCACATATAATTAAAAAAATGGCCCTTGAGTTTGGGGGAAAATGAGGAAAAAATAAATAAAAAAACATTCGAAATAATAATCTAATACTTTTATACTTACTGGTACTACCAGAAAATATTGTCGGTATACTGCACTTTTTTAAAGTTGTGCAGTTCTTATGTTTAATAAAATAGTCGTCTGTGAAATGATTGGAACAAATTTGATCATTTTGTTTCGGACGTCAATTCAAAATATTTATGCTTTTAAGCCATTTTAGTCTAGGTTCAGTTGGAAACCTGTTAATTTTTAAACATTTGATAATTATCTGTTGTTGACGACTTTGTTTGTTAACAGATATGGGTAGGAAATAATCGATAAGTATTATAGACAAGGAACTCGACAACCCTATTGAATTTTATTTTTTATCAAAACTGAGTAATATACAGCCAAACATGTTGATATATGTATATGCTATTAAGATTAGTAACAAAGTTTTAAGTACTTATGTTATCAAATAGTTTTAATTTGTTTAATATTTGCTGCAAATTTACTTACTTGTGAAATGTTATACCACTTCCCTTTTGGTAACGAGTTTTACAAATTACGCACACTCTCATTATTATTAAAATAATTCTTACCATGTAACTATACATTGTACAACTATGTATTTATACACAATCAAACAACATAAAATACTTTCGATTTTTAGTTTAAAAGTTGCAAACACAGATTTTTTTTAAATATGACAATTTAAATAAGACAACAGACTTAGGCATATTATGTCAATTTTATTTTTCAAGGCGTCCTTTAGTGGCGCTTCAAATAGGCACAGACATTTTGTATGGTATAGCCAGTCCAGCGTACTTGTATATATAGAGGTCAGTGGGTTTTTGACTTAACCTTTAGGGGTAAATATTTGTGGTACTAGTAACACTGGCAAAACTACTTGGTAAGGACGCCAACACACATTTAACTTTAAACATCGATAATCGAACATCAATGATCATCGAACATCCCTAATTGTATAGTCTTTGACAAACAATAAAATAATTATTATAAAAAAGAATTATGGTGAAAGTTTGTGAAATAAAAAGTTTTTTAAAATTTATCCTCTAGTTATAATGTCGCCATCCTAATAATTGTATTTGACTTTCCTACGGACACTTTTTAATATACAGAGACGGTTCTCTTTACCTCATCTAAAGACTATATTATAAACTAATAGAAAATCTTCGTCTTGCCTAACAAACAAATGTTATATAGACCAAATAATAATTAAGGGTATGCCTAGGAAAAAAACTCTTTATATCATACAGGGTAGGTGCTCACATAATTCATTACTATTTGTGGACCTCCAAGCGAAAAGGGTCCAGTTGTCTGCATTTAGTTTCCGAGATAATTAAGAGTTTTGTAAAGTTGGATGAAAAAATTGCATTTCGTGATTTTAATTGATTATTAATAAATGGACAGTTATCTAAAATTTCATATATTATAATATAATAACTATAATACGATGTTTCTAAGTACCAGAAACTTTAAGAGAAAAGTTTAGTGAAAAGGGACCGGTGGTCGGCATGTCAATATTTTTAAACAAAATACGTTTCAATACCTCGTACTGATCTCTATATGTAAATAAGTTAATTTAATAATTTTTTAAGATTATAAAGTTGAAACTACTTGTAAGCACTTCTTAAAAACGGGGAATTCCCTGTAACTACTGAGGAGATTTACTTACTGCAAAGTATCTATTTCAGCGCCAGTGGGGATGTCCGTGCGGGTATTCCCCTGCGGGTAAGTTCCTGTGGGTATTCCCCTTAATTTCCTATAAATAGATCTTTGCGTAACGCAATGATTTTCGTCATTTGACACCGAAAAGGGAACAGTATCCGATAATCTATTTGGTTGTAAATATAGCCGTGTTTATTATTTTTATAAGTTTTTCACGTTGTATTAACTTTAGTGGGTAAAAAGTGCACATAAAAATGAATAACGGTAAGACTTTATGTTATTTTATATACCACTGTATTGTAATAATACGGAGTTTTTGTGAGTACAGCAATACCTACTTGTCATAATTCCGGGTCTTAACACCAAGTATCTAGTCTAAGCTAATATTATAAAGAAAAAGGATTTGATTGTACTGGATAAACTAAAAAACGCTAAACCGGTTTTAATGAAATTTGACGAGGCTTGAACCCTTAGAAGTAAAATAGACTATGAAAAATTGGCCTAGTATGAGTCGGACCTGGACCGCAAGCGGTCAGTTAGTTGTAAAAAAAATGGTTTCGGCTCTTCTTGGTGTTCCTATTTTTAAAAATTTTCATACTATTTTTAAAGAGAGCAGCTTTAATGGTAATAATTCGGCTGCATCCACTTACACTGAAAGCCTACCGCAACAAATTTGAAAACAGGCTAAGCGAATGAATTGTAATTAGTCATAATTACTTATCCTAACTTTGTTTTAGGTAACGTAACTACTGAATAGTCAACAGAAGGTTCCAGCTCTAGTGATGAATCTAAGCATTCTGATGAGCCTGTACCACTTGCTATGGCGGTAGAAGTAAATACACTTCCTGTTTTGGCCTCGACCGTAACAACGCTGGATTTACTATCAGAAGAAGAGACTGTTGAACCTCCAGGTACTTACAAGTGAAGATAAAATACATAAGTGTTACGATTTTGCAAGGATAGTTAGTCGAGCTTTGTGTAAAATCAAAAAAGATCGATGTGATCAATGTATGCATGCAATAGTTCATATTATTTATGACTACAGCAAGGAATCTTATACCAATTAGGGAGTTGTGTTAGATATGTCATAAACATAATATGAAGAAAAACTTGTGTAGAATTCTATATTTTAACGTTTTGTTTTCAGTGTTATTCAGCATCTGTAAAACAGTTTTCTAATAAAAATGGTCTAGTATTGCCGGGCCGATTACATGGCCACCAATTTAAATCTGATTTAATAATTTTACCTTGTAGTATGTCTAAAGCATATGTGTACAACAAATATTTGGAAACTGTAGCTTCACTCGATAAAACTTCTATTGGTATATGTAGTTGGTACGATCTCTGGTAATATTTTTGTTGATATGTCGTTATACAGAAGCCGAAAACAGATCTTTGCGCAACTTGTCAGAAAAACGTGACAGCGTTGGTCCGAATGGGTGGTTTAAACGAAAATGAAAAGTTAAAACTTGTAGAAAAGTCGAAACAGCACCTTGATTTAGTACAAATTGAACGAAAATATACTATATAACAACGTAATCAAAGGTGCAACTGATTCATTGACGGATTCTACTCTTACTCTTGGATCTCATGAACCTGGTTCTTATGAAGGAGTCTTGCATTACTGTTTCGATTTTGCCAAACAGCAACACACACACACATTTACCGCACAGCTCCCAACAATTGGGGCCACTGTATTTCTTGACAGGATTTAAAATTAGTTTATTTGGTGTTGCTGCAGAGCCATTGAAAAATTTCGTTTTGTACGTAATTCCTGAACCCTGTGCTACTGGGAAGGGGACTAATGTAATAATTTCAATGCTACATAATTTTTTCGAAAATCGCCTATATCAATAGACAAAAAAGATATCGTTTTTCAAGCGGATAATTGTGCTGGACAAAATAAAAATAACTTTGTCATGTAATATGTAACATGGCGGGTTTTAACAGGCAGACATCGAAGTTTCCGTATGTCTTTTCTTCCCGTGGGTCATACGAAGTTCACTCCCGACATGTATTTCGGTCTATTCAAAAAAGTTTCAGAAAATGGGCTGTAATAACTTAAAGGATGTTATTGCCGCTGCTGTTCAAGCTTGTCCGAAAACAAAATCTATAATAGCTTTTCTTACTGGTGATGAGAATGGAGAAACTTTTGTAAAAATTTACGACTGGGCAAATTTTTTTCAACCTCATTCTGTGACCATTAACCAACTCCCGCATTTCTGTCATTTTGAAACAAAGGAAGACAATAGAAGACACATGATATGTTAAAAAAAATACTGACAGTCAACAACTGTAACAAAGGTTTTAAACCCGAATAAGCTATATGGTTTTCCTTTGGAAAAATCCCTGCAGGCTTGACGTACAAAAGAAAATCGTATCTTTATAACAAGATGCGTGAATTTGTAAGTGAAGAATCTAAAGACATTTTATGCCCGAAACCCATTGCAAATGTTAACGAACTAAGCTCCTCTAGCAATTCTAGCATTTCAACATTGCCAACAACATCTGTCGACTACTCTTTTCAGAAACAAATAACTGAAAAGAGTACTCGACAAAAACCAACATGTTCGTACTGCAAACAGATTGGTCATAGGAATCAGGTACGAGAAGGAATTTATTTTTGTAGAAAACGTAACTTAGATTCCCAAACAGAATAATTTTTGTGTTTATTTTGGCTAGTGATTAGTTATGTTATTTTATAAAAGGTACCGGTGTAGCCAAAATTATAATTGTCCTGTTCTAATAAATAGAGAGGGAGAATACTGAATTTTAGTATTTTATTCCTAATTAGTGTTGTATTTACTCACTTTTTACTAAACACCGACAACTGGACCTTTTTCTAAATTATGTTTCGATCTTTTATTTAGAGAGTATTCGTTCCAATAATATTTAAAATAACCTGTCTTGTTATTTTGTTAGTTACGAAATAGATAAGAAATATCTAAACTATGTTTTGATCTTTTATTTAGAGTATTCATTCCAATAATATTTAAAATAACCTGTCTTGTTATTTTGTTAGTTACGAAATAGAGAAGGAATATCTAATATTAGCTTTTTATTGCTAATTGCTGTCGTATTTACTCAGTTTTTACTAAACACCGACAACTGGACCTTTTTCTAAACTATGTTTCGATCTTTTATTTAGAGAGTATTCATTCCAATAATATTTAAAATAACCTGTCTTGTTATTTTGTTAGTTACGAAATAGAGAAGGAATATCTAATATTAGCTTTTTATTGCTAATTGCTGTCGTATTTACTCAGTTTTTACTAAACACCGACAACTGGACCTTTTTCTAAATTATGTTTCGATCTTTTATTTAGAGAGTATTCGTTCCAATAATATTTAAAATAACCTGTCTTGTTATTTTATTAGTTACGAAATAAAGAAGGAATATCTAATATTAGCTTTTTATTGCTAATTGCTGTCGTATTTACTCAGTTTTTACTAAACACCGATAACTGGACCTTTTTCTAAACTATGTTTCGATCTTTTATTTAGAGAGTATTCGTTCCAATAATATTTAAAATAACCTGTCTTGTTATTTTGTTAGTTACGAAATAGAGAAGGAATATCTAATGTTAGCTTTTTATTGCTAATTGCTGTCGTATTTACTCAGTTTTTACTAAACACCGACAACTGGACCTTTTTCTAAACTATGTTTCGATCTTTTATTTAAAGAGTATTCGTTCCAATAATATTTAAAATAACCTGTCTTGTTATTTTGTAAGTTACGAAATAGAGAAAGAATATCTAATATTAGCTTTTTATTGCTAATTGCTGTCGTATTTATTCACTTTTTACTAAACTTTTTACTACCGTCAACTGGACCCTTTTATTAAACTGTGTATCAATCTGTTATTTCAATCGTAATTGTATATTTTTGATGTTACAAGTATAATTATAGGTTAATTTTGTGAAGAGTATCGCAATCTATAATAATAAATAAAAATATATGTAACAAGCAAGTAGGAGTGTGTGTTTTTTTTAATCAAACTTTAAAAATTCTTTTTCTCAAAACAAGCTTTTTCAGAATTTCAACTTCAAAATGTCTGGTCAAAAAAATATGTGCCAGTTTTTGAATATTTTTTCAATCCGTACTATCAATTGACTATTCTAGATAACGAATTTAGCCTTAACTCAATACCCGACTACTGGACTCTTTTCGCTTGGGGCCTCCAAGCGAAAAGGGTCCAGTAGTATCTTTTGAATTACAGCTGTTTTAAAATTTAAATAAAAAGTAACTTGAAAAATCAAATATTAAGCACTTAAACATGATTCCTGTGGTTTAATTTCCTTAATTTGCTTTATTTAATGAACAATAAATATTGCTCCATTCTCATCAAATTGTACCTGCGTACAATGTTATGTAAAATTTACTATTTTGTTTATATAACTTAATGTGTCCTTAATTTAATCCTAAGATTAAGTTTGTATATGTATGATGTTGGTGGGCTTTAATAAAACTAATTGGTACGCTTAGTGGCGGTTAAGAATATCCACTACCCCATATCGTACCGTGGGTGTCGTAAAAGGCTTCCCTCCAGGTAGGATGGGCAGCAGCATATTCCTAATAACAGCATATAACAAAAAACTGTGGTTGCCAACCCGCTTGCCAAGCATGGCAACTATGGAAATATAACCCCATGAGCAACGACGCAAATAGATGGCCCCCAGTCACCGGCGGTCTCACTATTCCTGGCTACGGTGGTGAGCATGGTAACAGGGGGTGCTAAGAATCTCCGGTGGAGGTTCGGTTGCCAGCTAAAACGACTCGAACTGACAACATACTACACACGCACCCTGAGGACTGACAAGAGGATTCTGGAGCTGGAAGAAGAGATAGAGAAGTTGCACTGTAATATTATAAGATTATTCGAGGTCCGAAGAGAGGGGGAGAATACGGTGATCACCGAGAGGGCGACCATTTGTCCCAAGGAGGTTTTGGATTTATCGTCCACAAGTCTCTCGTTAACAACGTTGTAGAGATTGGGTGAAGGTTGACGAGGGTTACGTACCAGATACTCAGAATCACCAAACGGTATTAGATGAAGGTCATACAGGCTTACGCACCAACATCGGCACATCCCGATGAGGAGGTAGAGGAAATGTATGAGGATATTTCTAGTGCCATGCATTCCTCCAAATCCCACTATACGGTGTTAATAGGAGACTTCAACGCAAAGCTAGGCACAAGAGAAAGCGGTGAGATGAAGGTAGGAAAATTTGGGATAGGGCAACGGAACCCAAGGGGCCAGCAGCTGGCCGACTTCATGGAGAAAGAGGTACTTTTTATGATGAATACTGTTGCTTCCAGAAGCGGCTTCACAGAAAGTTGAACTGGTCGAGTACCGACAATTCGACAAAAAATGAGATTTACTTCATTATGACTACTAGACGGAAACTGTTTAGTGATGTCTCAGTGATCGCGAGGGTGAAAACTGGCAGCGATCAACGAATGGTTAGAGGCACACTGAACCTAAACGTTAAGTTGGAGAGGTCTCGTCTAATGAAGTCAACGCTCCGTCCCCCTCGTGTTCCAATCCTAAGACCCGAAACTTTTCAGCTCGAGTTACAAAACCGTTTTCAGTGCCTAGAAGACTGCAATGCAGTGGACGATATGAATGACAAGCTCTAAGAAACTGTCCATGCGGTTAGAGCTAAGTTTTGCAAAACTCACCGCGGAATAACACAAAAACTCTCCGACCACACTCTTAATCTAATGACTATTAGACGGGAAATGAAGCTGCAGTCGTTAGTAGATTTGACAGCATACAGGCAACTGAACAGACAGATCTCCAAATGTATGCGACGGGACTTACCTAACTTCAATACAACTCGTATTGTTCTTCAGCGGTTTGCTACGATTGCGCGGAACTAGGGCTCCAAAGCCTTTTCCAGAGATCTGTTTGCCAGAAAGAATCAACTGTCAAAGCTGAAAACTGAGTGTGGCTGTATCGTTTCCGAGACACCAGAGATTTTGAGTGAGATATAGAGGTTCTATGGGGAGCTGTACACATCATTGTTAGATCCACGAGCAAATGTGAGTGACGATCCAAGAGCAAGTCTTATCCGACACTATTTCAATGATATACCGGACGTCAGTCTAAGCGAGATTGAAAAGACTCACTAGCAACTTTAAAACGGCAAGGTCCCAGACGAGGATGGAATTACAGCGGAGCTTCTGAAAGCGGGTGGAAAACCGGTCCTTGAAGTCTTTCAGAAGCTCTTTAATTCCGTCCTCCATGGTGGCACTATTCCGGAAACGTGGAGCAGAAGTGAGGTGGTATTGTTCTTCAAGAAAAGTGACAACGCTCTCTTGAAGAACTACAGACCGATATCCCTTTTGAGCTGCGTCTACGTGCTGTTTTCGAGAATCAATAAGAATCATGTCGCCCGCAGACTTGACAACTTCCAGCCTCCCGAACAAACCAGTGTCCGAATAGGCTTCAGTACCATAGACCCCATACATACCCTGCAGCAAATTGTACAGAAGACCGAAGAGTATAATCTGCCACTTCACCTGGCGTATGGGGACATATTGGCGTAAGTGGACTATGAGAAAGCCTTTGATTCCGTTGAATTTTGGGCGGTGGTGCTACAGTCCCTTCAGCGGTGCCAAGGTGACTGTCGGTATATCGAAGTGCTGAAGTGTTTGTACAGTAGGGCTACGATGGCTATTCGAGTACAGAACTAGAGTACGAAACCTATTCAACTGCAGAGAAGTGTAAGACAGGGTGACGTTACATCCCTGAAACTCTTCACCGCTGCATTGGAAGACGTTTTGAAACTACTGGACTGGAAAGAATACGGTGTTAACATCAATGGCGAATACATCACTCACCTTCGATTTTCCGACGATATAGCCCTTATGGTAGAATCACTGGAGGACCTAAACACTATGCTCAACCACCTTAATAGTTTCTGCGAACGGATAAGTCTTAAGATAAACATGGACAAAACAAAGATCATGTTTAATGTCCATGTCACATCTATGCCGGTAGTTTTTGGGAGCACTAAGCTCGAAGTTGTTAACGAGTATGTTTACCGGGGACAAATAGTCTGACTAGGTAAGTCCAACTGCGACCGAGAGGTAAATCGACGGATTCAACTTTGCTGGGCAGTGTTCGGGAAATTACGACACATCTTCTCGTCAGGTATACCTCAAAACCTGAAAACGAGATTGTACAACCAGTGGGGGTTGCCAGTGATGACTTATGAATCTGAGACGTGGTCCCTCACTACTGGCCGTATGAGGACGCTCAAAGTTGCTCAGCAAGCTATAGAAAGGGCTATGCTCAGGGTTTATCTGCGTGATAAACTTAGAAATGAGGATATCTGCAGTAGAAGCAGAGTGACCGACATATCACAACGGATTAGTAAGTTGAAGTGGCAATAGGCCGGCCATATAGCTCGAATAACTGATAACCGATGGGGAAGAAAGGTTCTCAGTGGCAGCTTTGTACCGGTAGGCGTAGTGCAGGGTGACCCCCCACTAGATGGAGTGACAACTGATGAGACATGCAGGAAGTCGATTGATGCAGGTGGTTCAGGACCTTGTTTTGTGGTATTCCTTGGGGGAGGCCTATGTTCAGCAGTGGTTTTTAGTAAGTAATATTATAAAATTTTGTCCATACATAATGCCACAAACTAATAA